TCATCCGTATCTGGGACTCCCTCTTCGCCGATGACAACCGCTTTGACTTCCTCCTCCTCGTCTGCTGCGCCATGCTCATGTGAGTGCGGTGTGACCTGGCATCGGCTCACCTGGCCTGTCCTTGAGAGAAACTAGAGGACCCTCCGCCCCGAAGGGTGGGCAGGGGCTGCTCTCACATGGCTGGAGTGAGCCTCTGGAATTCTTGGGAGGCCTCCAGACCAAACTCACTGTGGGTGGTGAGGAAGAAGCGGGAAGGAGAGGTCTGCAGACTAGGGTCCCAGTGCTTTTGCTGATTGTTTTTCTTAGATTGATCCGGGAGCAGTTGCTGGAAGGGGACTTCACCATAAACATGCGGCTCCTGCAGGTAATGGGAATTTGGAGGGCAAGCCTAGTTTTAGCCATAAGGCAGAACCCACCCACACCAAGCACCCACCCCCACCAGCCGCTGTGACAGGCTGGGATCAGGAACAGTAGAGTATAGTGGGGTAAGAGTCCAGACCTGTGAGGCAGATCTGGATTTGAATCCCAGCTCTGCCACTGACATTTGAGTGTCAAGTGACCTTGTGCAAATAACATGGCCTCTCCAAACCAAGTATTGTACATAAGTTAGTGCCCAGGACTCAGCAGACACCAGAACATGGCAATGCTTGTTGGCAATCATGATCAGACTCGGGGAAGGAAGTGTGGAGCGGAGTGATTAGAACATTGGGCTGAAGGACCAGATAGCTTTGGGGTCACATCTTTGTTCTACTGTGCTTGTCCTGGAGTCTGAACCAAGTTACAGCCTCTACAGGCCTCAGTTTCTTCACCAATGCGTGGTCTAGGGTTGGTTTTCAGCAACTTCATTGACTAGATCTGTACAACGGGCCTAATCACAGTAACCCCCTCACAGGGCTGTCAAGGTGACTCATTGAGCTAATGCATGACAGTGCCTGTCCAGTACCGGGCGCGGTATGAGTGGAGCTCAGGGTTCGATGGCAGGAGGTGGGGACAGATGATGCAGGATGGTCCTGAGGAAAGGGCTGTGGGTGGTCCTGGTTGGTTGGTCAAGTTAGTGCTGCAGTGGGGTGTGGGGGTTTGGCAAGTATCAGTGGGGTACCTGGTATTCTGTGGTCCCTGCTCCTGAGGCCCTGGGTCCAGCATGGTGACAGGTCCTGGGGGAAGGGTACAGGTGTGGCAGAGGTGGGAGAGGGTGAGCTGGCTTGAGAGGCACATTGTTGGTCTTTCCCATGCCCAGGATTACCCCATCACAGATGTCTGCCAGATCCTACAGAAAGCCAAGGAACTCCAAGACTCAAAGTAGCCTGGCAGCATGAGGCCCAGTTTTTGGAGAGAAGCCACCCGACCTCTGTGCCGTGGCATCCAGGATGTGCAGCCGCCTGTGGGATCCCCAGCCCAAGAAGAGGCTTCAGGATCGGCCCATTCCAGGCCTTCTTGCCCTGGCTCTTGCCACCCAGGCCGCTCCCACTAGGGGCACACTGTGCTGTGCTCCTTCCCTGCCCAGCAAGTCCTGGCCCCTCCCTGCTCTTTAGCCCTGTGCCCCTTTGCCCAGGCCGCTGAGCAGGGTCAGAGCTCGTGAGGTTGTTTTGTGGAGCTGGGGGCCATTCGGGGGCACTGGGAGGCTGGCAAGGGCCCCTCCCTGCCTCTCCTCTGTTGCTCCCTTTCTTGTTTCCTGCCTCCGGCCTTCTGGGCACTGGTCAGGGGAGGTGCTTGGCAAATGGGCCAGAAACCACTTCTGCTGGGGGTTGGTGCTCAGGCTTCTCCATTGGGAAGGTGATTCTGAAGGAGCTAAGCAGTTGCCAGGCCCAGGTCACACCTTTGTCTCCGTCTCACTGTTGGTGTGTGTGTCCCTGAATCCCCCAGGTGTTTGTTTCTCCCCCATGTGTGTGCGCGCATGCGTGTGTGAGGGTATCATTGTGTCCATCTCGGCCTCTGCTGCTTCTGTCTCTCTACCTCTCTGTCTCTGTCCCCTCCACCTCTTCTCTGGAGGGTGTGCGTGGCTCTCATTCTGTGTGGCCCTCCTCCGTTACTCTCCCTCTGCCCTTCTCTTGGGGTGCCTTATGCTGAGCCTCTCCTCCCTCCTCCCCGCACTCCCCTGAACCTGAGAGACAGAATGGGGAGTCTGGCTCAGCAAGGCTCCTGGAGGTCAGCTTGGGCCTTTGCATCCTGTTTCCATCCCCCAGCCCAAGGCTCCCTGGTCCCCCAGACTGGGTGGGAGTCCCAGTGCCTCACTAGAGGGCCTTGAACCTGCTCCCCATGACAGAAATCCTAGAAACCAAGAGCTGCCGAGAAACGCTGATCCACGAAGCCTTGAGCCTCCCACCCCTGCTTTCTGCCTGGGATGGAGGAGGGAGAAGCTGGAGAGCCGGCTCTTTCCAGAGCTTCCCAAAGTCCCTCCTGTCCCAAAAGAAAAGGGCATTAAGGCAATTCTGTCCCGAGTTGGAATCTGAGTGTTTTAGGGGAGTCATTCCTTTGGCTCCCAGGCCCCTCTCCCCCAGGGTGGTGAGTCCCACAAAGGGCAGGTGGCACCAAAGGGTGCCTCCCTGGGGCCAGGTGTAGCTGAGCTCAAAGTCCTGGGTCCTTTCAGTGCTAGGAGGGCCATGTCTGCGCCTTTGTGAGCCCCTCCGCCCTGTGCAAGCTGAAGGAGGTGTTGGCCTTCTCCCCCGGTCACCCTGAGCAGGAGCAGTTGACTGCTCCCAGTTCTGGAGGAGCAGGGCTATTCTGACCAAGTCCCCTCCCTCCTTTTGTAAGGAGGGTAGGAGATTTGGGTCTGGAAAACTGGGTAATGGAGTGAGGGGCTTCATCCTCTCCCCAAACCGGCCAGCAGGAGCCGGGCCCCAGCAGTCCTCCTGTCCCAAAGCCTGCCTGAGTCTGGTGGGCAGGGCTTCTTGCCACCCTCCCCCGCCTGGTCCGTGGTGCTGCTGGGATGTTCCACACTTGCCTTTTTGCCTCCTCTCCCAACAGTATTTGGGAAACTTTTACTATTTATTCAGACTCCTGGCTATTTATTGCAGATTGGCAAGTGCTTTGGGGCTGGGAAGGTAGAAAGGAGGAGACACAGTCCTTTTTCATTTCCCAAGGTCAAAGTCAGCATCCTCTTCCTCTGCCTCTGGGACCTTCCTGGCTTCCCAGCAGGGGCTCTGAGCTCTGTACTGGAGCTGAGTGTACAGGAGGCAAGAGCACTGGTACACTTGCCAGACTCAAAGACCCCTGGGATGAGGCAGACACTGCTTCCTGCAGCCTTGTGCATCCTCTACCCAGAACTTGTCAGCTGGTGGTTCCGCCCCAACTTTGACCCCTTCACAGTCCGAGTCTTGGGCCACTGCCTGGGACTCAGCAGACACTGCCCAGGACACCTGATACATTCCCTCTTCCCATCGCCTACCCTCCCTCCTGGGACCATACTACTTGAATCACTACTTCTGATTTGCCTTCATGGCAGAGCCGGGTCCAGTGCTCTTTCCTTGACCTTAAAGTGAAGGTCAAGAGCACAAGGACCATGTCTTAGTTAGGCTGAGCTCCCTGGTGTGATAATACCTGAGGAAAGGACCTGCCTTTGGTGATTCCCCACCTCCAGATTTTTGAGGGAGGTTCCCACAAAGCCAGATCGTCTGAGATTTCCTCCTTGACAAACTGCCCCCAGGACTTCAGACACTTACAGATTGAGCTGTATGAATTCAGCAGG